CTCATTCAGCTCCTTTCCAGTCAATACCCCAACCCCTCCCCTCCGTTACGACTTTCTGGGATCTATAGCACCACCGCTAGCTCTTCGCATTCGCTCCAAGCACTTCCACTTCCATCTCAATCACTGCAACTCACCTCCCAATTCGGCCGAGTCGAGACCAGTTTTAGTAGCTGCCTTGCAAAAGCATCCGTACACCGCGGCAATCGCAAAGAACTATTGTAGGTGAAAAATTCACATTACAAGTTCTCGGGCCCATTTTGTGCCATACTTTCTGTTGTACTATTCAATAAAAAATGTTTTCAAAGTTAATTTGCTAAGGCGAACGACAGATAGCATTGTGACTCGAAAGATAACGCTTCCCTCAACAATGAATTTCGTTTAGCAGCGCTGCTGGTCACCCACTGATGCTTGGAAAACAGCACCCAAGTAACTCGTGCGTATCACTTTAATGTCAATCGGATGTCAGAATATAAAGTGAAGAAATCGCTCCCAAACAACAACCAGGTATCGCACTCAGTTACAGCAGACTGGCCACTCACAATGCACTGCCTATGGCTAACCGTACTACAGTTTCCAGAAGTGCGACTCTTGCGCAGAAACCAATATCTCGGATTCGCTGCAAACCGCAGAAGTCGATGCGAGGAAGATGCATATTTAGGAACACCGCACATCGGTTCTTTTCAAAAAATTTTTGTAGAAAATTGACAGTAACCTCGTATGACAGTAACCAGAAAACGCTTTTCATCTTCCTCCATCATTGCACCACTGATCGAACCAATCGCCCAGCATAGCTATGTAAAACAGACATAAATTATGTCTTTCGTAAAAAGCACTTCAAAGACCATTTGGAAATGCTTAAAAATTGCCTTAACCAATGAATTTTTTCCACTGGTAAGTAGCCTCGGAAGAGGAATGTGACGCACGCAGCTATCAACACGCAGAGGAAAAAAAGCGTGTCCTAGATTGTTGTTCAACCAAAACCATTATTTCATATGTTACAACGTTTCTGTTGCGCGAACAGTGCGCTAAAAACAAAAGCTGCTTTGCCTGCATTCGCGGACTAACGCAAAAATGCTTGTATGTTCCCGAATTTCATATTCCACTGCATCCCTTATCAACTGCTTTTCACATCACTCTGGCTGAATTTTGAGCAATCTCTGAACGCTTCCTCTCTCTCAATTTTTCTTTGCGCCCTAACAAAAGGACTTTTAATCCCTTGTTTCTGGCAAAATGTAGACAGCAGCCAGTTCAATCAGCAAATCTTACAAATCCTTTTCAGCCTAGAACTTCGACACGAAGAACAGAAACGAACATCAACACATCAAAATCTGCATGCTGTAAACCAAGTTTAGGAGAAAGTCTGCAAAAAATGGCAGCCCGCACTAGAAATATCTTTTTCCAACTGTATGCTGCTCGTAAATCCGCAACTCAGGAATGCACAAACGAAAAAGCACTGTGCTACGGCCATCCTGTAGCGCATGCAATGATTTCAGAATGTCAAAATTTGGAGTTCTTAACACGCCTTATTGCAGCTATAATATCCAGAAAAATTTTGCCGTGAGGTTATAACTCATGTCACACGATTTTACTTTTGTCGTATCCCATTATTCCGGTCATTTATACTGCAAAAATTCTAATTTTATAACGTATTCTTTGCCCGAGATCACAGGCTGGAATATTATAAAGCAAACTAGTCCCATTCCCGGGATTTTGGGCGTACAGTTTTGTCCCTCCTCAGTTACATCACCAAGCTATTCTTAGGTCAGAGGTGAAGACCCACAACAAACAGAAGCCTCGCTTGCAGCCCTGTGTATGACCGAAAAATATGCACCTAAGACTTCAACTTATTTGCCTGTGCAGCTAAGATGAATTTGCAGAACACACACACACACACAAACACACACACATACACACATACACACACACACACACATACAAACTCAGTTCAGTGCGATTTTAATTTGGGCAAAGTATACAAATGCAAAGCTACGAGAAAGAGAGAGATACCGTGTTCAGATTCTTCCACGACCACTCTTTTCCATTAACTTGACTTTGCAACTTTTCAGTCATTTTCACTTCCGTGTCTTTGTAGTCGAGATGAGTCAGATAGACTGCAAGCAAAGAGCCGTTAATAAACCACGCTTCTCCAAATAAACCACGTAAAAAGAATGAGGCGAAAAGGAAGCAAAAAAATACCAAGCGTTTCACGCATCGTTTTGTACAGTGTAATTGAGTCCGTGTCTTTGATGAGTTCACGCACCACCTCACCCTGCTCATTCTCAACAATAAGCACTTCTTCCGGTTTTGCCATTCTCGAGATCATTACAAGACGAAGCTGCAACAGTGAACTGCAATAGTTACCCCGCGACCAAATCTGTTTGGGACGCTGATGATACAATAAACATACTGACGCGTATCAGTCCGAAAAACAAAAGCAAAAAAACCCGGCCCAACCCAATTCAACACAACCAGCAAACGCACGGATGGAACTCGGCAGCGATTACGAAAGCTGTTAAATCATAGTCCTACCAAAGTGCTCATGTAGAAGCGAGCACTCAAAGAATCTAATTATATCACTCTCAAAAATCCTAACCGACCAAGCGGAGCCTC